TCAATTTAAAGTGACAGCAAAGCAGTAAAACAGGAAGTCGGCCATTTGCATTACTTTATTTATTTATATGAATATTATTTTTAGCACCTCCTCTTCAATCTGCAGACATGGAAACCCAGAGGTTGAGAGCAGCAGAACCATTAAACACAAATCAGTAGCAAAGAAAAAAAAAGGTCGTGAAAGGAGGAGCTGGGGTCCAACAAAAGGGGCGAGGTGGGTTGCAAAGCAGCTTGCAGATCCCAGCAGCTGAGGGCAGCGTAAAGATACTTAAAAAGTCAACCTCACATGAAATTGACCAAACAGAGCACAGCACACCACCAGCTGGTCTGACGTGACTGTGGATGAGCTCGACTTTGAGGCCCAAGCTAACGCCAAGCTAACGCCGTGCAACGATGTCATTTTTTGATCGAATGATCTGCCGACTATTTTATTCTTCAATTTATTCCTTGGACTAGAGAATGTCTGAAAGCAGTGCCACTTCTTTTTTCAATGCCTGATATGTCTAACTAGCACTTCAAAACCTCCAAGCAGTCAGTTTAGCATTACATAAGACATGTCAGCATCCTAACAAACAAGACGCTGGCACCAGAGTCTGCGGCTAAATCACGACGTCTCTACTTTGAGCTTCTGCAGATTTGCAGGAAACAATTTATTCGGTAAAAAAAAACATAAACATAAACACAACGCTGGTTAAAAATGGACCTGCGTAGCTGCGTGCAGGTGCACCGAGCAGAGCTTTGCACTGTGTGCTAAGATGCAACCACCAGCATGTGGTTACATTAGGATCACATGACAAAAGCGTCCAGGGCTTTAATGATGCAGCGATGTAGATGCTAAGATTTCCCGCAGCTCTCGCTTCTCAGGAGAAAGAACCAAACGGTCTGGGGTCGCACCAAAGCGCAGGGCCCCGAGCCGCTCTGTATCCAAGACAACAGATTTGGAGAATATCTGATGAAGTCACTCCGGCAGATTTCAATATTTTATCAGCGCAGCCGGAAGGCGCGCAGAAAACAACCCCAACAGAGAGAGCGCGTGAAGCGCGTGAAAGACCAAGACGCTTCGGGTCGAACCAAAGATGAAACTTTGCTGTTTGTTCCCCTGAAGCAACAGGCTGTTCCAGCTCACAGCACGTCTCCATCGCTGCTCTGGGAGAGCCGTGGAAAGAGCAGCACGGGGAGGAAATTTATGAATCAGCCTTTTGCCATTTTTGTTTTCTTTCGTAACTATTTTTCAACCACAACAATCCAAATGTCTCTGTGTTCGAAGCATTAGAAGCGCCCTCATTGCTGAATTAGATAATGCATTATGCATATATTACCTCAGACTTTCTCCTTCACATTACCTCATCTCTCCATCTGTGCCCCTTTCACTCCTGTACTCTGGCCTCCCTCTGCGCTGCTCCATCTCTCCTCTGTCCTCTCACTGCTATCAACTCTCCACGCTTGTATGCTGCTAATAAACACTTGGCGATTTGAGCATACTTGGTGTGGGGGGGTTCACAGGAAGTGGTGTGATTGGTTTGGGGGAGATGAAACTGTGTGGAATAGTTTGTTTTGGTGTAGTTTCACGTGAGCTCGCAAACAGACTGCTGGATTGTCATTCAGCAAAAAAAACAAGAAAAAGGAAAAACAAACGGCACGCTGAGACACCAGCGTAAATAAAACAGAAGTACGGCGTCCCCCCGTCAAACGCCGTCAACCTTCAGTCGGACAAAGTGCAGAGACGTCTCTGACGTGATGGCACTTCACAAACGGCACAATTTATGACATCCCAGGAGAAACAAATACGCATGCAAAGTCACACAGGATGTGGTTAATAGTGAAATCACGTCTGTACACACACACACACACACACACACACACACGCGCGCGCTCTGGTTTATAGAAGCTCACACACACATACACGTGCACCCAAACAAACATCCAGAGTGTCCAACCTGTTGGGATGTGGTTGAGCGCCGATGTCTTCAGGACCTCGAGCGGCTGCTCCTTTCCCAGGATTCCCTCTGTGGGAGAGAGAGAACACTCCGCTTCAAATATGGTCCGCAACATTGAGACAAGCTTCCAGCGACAAACCTAAATCGGGCAGTTTTTGAAAAGAAAGACAGCCACAGTGCAAACAAGCGGGCTTCAGGTCATCTGCGCTGCGGCCGGCGCGTGCAGCGGCAACGGTACCGACGCCTGAGCGCGTTCCATTGGCCGGAGAGAGAAAGCGAGCGGTGAATGCACGGAGGGTCTTCGCGACCGCGGGGGTGCTCGGAAAAGCTCTGAGGGGACGCCGAGGGGCGCGCGAGTTCGGCGTGCGAGAGGAGAGGAGAGGAGTTGGGGCTCGACTGATGCTGCCTGTGCTCAGCATAGCAAATGTGGCTGGCAGCAAGCAGCGGCGGCAGAGAGGGATGAGGGGGATGGTGGTGGCGGTGGTGGGGAGGTGGGGGGAGCGATGGAGAGGAGGAGAGGGAGGGAGGGAGAGAGGTAAAAATAGCTCACCCTTTTGTGTGTAACGGCACATGCAGGAGCACACACACAACGCACATGCATACAGACACAAAGACACTCCTCTAATGTGCATGTGTGCGCATGTCTGTGTGTGTGTGTGTGTGTGTGTGTGTGTGTGTGTGTGTGTGTGTGGAGGCTGTAATTATAGTGGCAACATGAAAAGGCTTTTGTAGCTGCCGAGCCCTGGGAAGACATGGCTATAAAAAGCAGAGCCACGGAGAAGGGTAGTGGAGGAGGAGGAGGAGGAGGAGGAGGATGCATCAGGGGATGGAGGGGGTAAGAGGGGAGAGAGGTAGAGGGAAGCAGGGATGATGAGGCGATGGAAAGATGGAGGAAAAAGCAACGAAACGGCGAAACGAGAGAAAAAAAACACTGACATTGAAATAGTGCATGCATTGCAAGCGCACACAAACCTGCGACTACTGCTGCTGCATCCATCCTCTACATGTGTGTGTATTCATAGTAAACACGAGCACCTGAGCCATCTGCACATAAATACATTTACATCTAAAAATCCTGAGCACGAGGCTCAAAAACATCTGAGGGGCACAAATATGCAATTATTCCTTTTGGACGCGAGATGAAAATCCATGTAAAATCCCTCCGGAGGCATCAAAAAGAGAAAAAGAGGAGAGGGAAACGGGCGAGCGCCTCGCTGTGCGTGATCTATTTCTGGAATTCTCTCTGGACCAGACGGCCACATACACACAGACGCACGCTCTTAATTAGCCTCGAAGCTGGAGGGATGCGTTTTGCGCTGATTATGTACGTGCATTCGTCTCGCGCCACCTTGCGCGAATTGATGCACCAGTACCCCCAAACCCTCCACCTTCAACCACCCTGTCCCCCCCAACAAGTGAGGGCTTGGGCGTGGGCTTGAGTCACATTTGGCCCTGTTGATCTGTAGATCTACACAGGTTTGAAAACAGGTGACATTCAAATTCAAACTCCTGCAGACTTTATGTAAAGAGCGAGGAAATATTACAAGGTGGTCAAAGCCTCCAAAAACAAACCCGTGCGCGTCGGTGAGAGCCGATATCCCCTGGCGTTCCTATTCAAATGAAACACGCTGCTGCATTTTGCAATGGAAATGAGGTGCATCTGCCTGTGCATGACACCTGTGGCTTGGAGTAATTCTACGCCCTGCTTTTGCACAAATTGCTGGTGGGAGCTTTACATCTCCGACTTTTAAGTGTGGGGAAGGGGTGGAGGGGTGTGCGTGTCGTTGTCTGTGGTTAGTTAGACAAAGCGTATAAGCTTTCAGCCCCAAACCGCAGGGTTGATACCCGACACTCACGTGGGGAGGAGGGAGCATAGGTGTGCTGGAGCACTGAAGAGGGAGAGTGGGACACACAGCAGTCGGAGAGCAACGTAATGAAGCGATAACCC